GCAGCGTATCCGGACAAATCTTTGCATGACATTTCTTCGTCGCGCAATTCTTCGTCCGCAAAACTTCGTCCACTCATTTCTTCGTCCGGGCATTTCTTCGTCTCCGCCTTTCTTCGTCTTGCATTTCTTCGTCTCGCATTTCTTCTTCGTCCGCGCATTTCTTTGTCTCGCATTTCTTCGTCTCGCATTTCTTCGTTTCGCATTTCTTCGTCTCGCATTTCTTCGCCTCGCATGTCTTCGTCTTGCATGTCTTCGTCTCGCATTTCTTCGTCTCGCATTTCTTCGTCTCCGTATTTTTTCGTCTCGCATTTCTTCGTCCGCACATTTCTTCGTCCCCGCATTTCTTCGTCTCGCATTTTTTTCCGCAAATCTTCGTCCGCAAATTGACAGTGCAGCCTGCTGATTGGGCTATTGCCTATTTCATCTTCGTAGCGGACCAGCCATGGCTAGCTCACACATGACGTCACTCGGGGCATTGATTCAAATCACTGAGCCTACACCAGGGTTACGGAGTCAGAGTCGGAGTCCGTTGGAGTCGACAGTTCTGGCCGTATTCGGAGTCGGTTGGAAACGACAGTTCTGGCCGTAGTCGAAGTCGGAGTCGATATTGGAAGCCGGAGCTGGATTCGGAGTCTGATTCACCGAAAATCTCTTGACTCTGCAGTGTTGGTTCCTATAGGAACCAACACTGCAGAGTCAAGAGATGGTGGTATACCACCAGTGACGTCAAAACAATTTCTGTAATAATTTAGTGTTTTTTTATACTATCATGTGGAGTTTTTGAACCCTATGGGTGTCATTTCACTCAGTTGAGCGTTTTCGTAATCCGTGACTCGCTTATTAGGTGTAATTTGACCCTCAGTGGTGCCATAATATTCCGGTGTCATTTGAACCCCATGGGTCTCAAATGACACCGGAATATTATGACACTACCAAGGGTCAAATTACACTCAATAAGTCATTTGAAAGGAATATTATGACACCACTGAGGATCAAATTACACCTAATAAGGGAGTCATGGATTGAAAAAACGCCCAACTGTGTGAAATGACACCTATAGGATATAAAAACTCCTCATGATAGCGTCAAAAACGCTTAGATGTGTTATTTTACACTGACACCGTGCAGGATCTTTTGACACGACACCTAAAATGGGAGTCAAAATTTTGGGTGTCAAATGACCCTTGGGTATGTGATTCTGACCGAGATCAATTTACACTAAAAAACGGTGTATGGACACTGTTTTTCAGAATCGGATTACACCATGGGTGTCAGTTGATTCCCAAATAGGGGATCGTGATTCCCGGGGGGAGTAATTATTTTTCTCCGTGTAGGGATGAGTGTCCAAAGTTTTACCGAACTGCATATTCCTAGGCTCAAGCCTCACTACGTTCCGTTTAGTTGGGTCCATTTCCCTGCTCAATAAAACCTACGTGTAATTAGAAGTGTGCCGGAAATGCCACCGCACGGTTCGCTCTACGAAACCGTTTCGTACCGTTAGAACATCGAGATTGCATGAGATAAAGCAGAGGCATTTGGAAATTTTTCGGCGCCGGGATGGGATGCCGAGTAGTAAAGTAATCTTGGGGATGCCCATTCAGGCCTCGTGCAATTATTCGGTAGTTATCAGCCGACAGCCTTCTAAAGCTGACGTGTCAAATATGACGATTGTTCTGGCTTAGGCTAGCGCCATTCTGCCACATGCAATTATTTATTCTTGGAATAATTCACGGAATGTGAAATTAAACGTGCTGTAAACACCAGTTTGATGTAATTCGATGGACTAATCGATTTAGTACCCCAGTTTACCACCCATAGTCACTGACGGACACACAGGACATCTGACACATCAACTGAGTTAACTGCAGCGGTTCACCACTGACGGTGGTCTACTGACAGCTAATTAACTGGAGTTGCATCAGCCGTATCTCAGGCTTCATCACTCACTCCACAACCAGACAGCTCCCTCCAATTAAGTGCTCATCAGCTGACGCGCCAGCCTTTGATGGTTAATTACCAGTCACAGTCCATGGAGTCGTGTCCCAGCAGATTTTGATGGATTGGGAGCATGCCGCTGCCGCGATATATGGCCCGTTTGAATCCCGACGGACGGCCGCAGCTGCGGCGGTTCGCAGGCCCTCGTGACGCCCTCGGCCGTGACGCCACACGTCCGGACCGGCCGGCCCCGTGTGGGGTCGGCTGTTCGGAGAGCGGCGGCGGCGGCGGGGGCGGCGGCGGCTCCCTCCCGCGTGACGGAGGCGCCCCAGACGGGCGGCTGTCGTGAGGCCGTGATGTCGTCATCTTCCCATCCTCCAGCCGGCGCCGTCAGCGCAGTCGGAACCGTGACTCAGGCCCGGCCAGGAGCCCGCAGTAGCGCGCCGCTCGCGCCACTCAGAGGCAATAAAGAGTCGTTTGTTTTACGAGCTCTGTCCAGTCGTGCGGGCATGGGAGCCGCCGGGTGCCCGCCACCGCGCGAGGGCCGGGGTACGGGAAAGGGGCGGTCGACCGCTCCCGACTGTCACTCCACCGCTAGGAAAGCCTTCAGTGGAATTATGCTGACTGGGTGAGGCTAGTCACAAACTGGCAATGCTACTGGACTTGCCACTTGATAGCTTCTTGGCAAATGAGGAGGGAAACAATTAAGGTGAATAGGTGGCACGCTGGGCGCGGCCGGTTGAGGGTCACTGGTTTACGCCGAAGGTTGAACAATAGGTGACTGTTGTCGAACAGGTGTCGGAAATGTTCGGGCCGGGGTCATTTCCGACACGACTGCGGAGGCTGACATTCGCTCGCCTTTTGTCCCGCCGACTATGTAAGTACTGGTACGTGCGTCACATCCGTAAATCAGCGTAGGTATTGTGCGAATATCTAAATGAACTGAGGTCATAGGTACCGGAGCATCGGTAGGTCGTCCGATCTTTTGGAGCAGAAACGCGGTGGTGCGGTAATTAGTGTGTAATTGCAATTATTCACACTTCGACACTCCAACATACACAGGTACGTTACCAGTGTCAGGATGTACCGCGCCGAGTTCACAGGGTCATGGTCTATGTCCACGCTTCGCTTACTCAGAGATGACAGAATAGACTTGAGCTGATGCTCGGTCTCGATACGGAGTGCCTCATTCACTTGATTTAAATCATTCATACATCTCAAGATGTTATAACTGTAAAAATGCCTCCCAAATTATGTCGGAATGTAAAAATCAACGTAAACATGGTGACCTTTGTCACTCAAAATAGTGCTACATGTGCCTATGCCTATTGAGGGGGCCTTGCGATGGGATATTCTCGGGTGTTTGCTGTTTCGGATCCGCGACAACGTACAGCAGCACATTTACATGTCAGTGTATCACTTCCGGCGGACATGTTAAACAGTATAAATAAAATGACTGCCGTTGGTCAGAGTAGATCACCGACCATTGTCAGGGCTCGGCACAGCCGCCTGATGAACCCGAATGAAACATTTGACGAATTAATTGATTCCTGGAACGCTGTCCTATGAGGAATGGAAATGAGGAAAACAAAACCGAGTTGCCAGTTCTATGTCTAACCATGCTGTCCTACCGGGAAATGAAACGGTTGGTGTCACTTGATATGTGCGATGCGAAATTAATGGTTTTCATTAGGTTGCAACACTCAAATACCGAACTGATGGCTAAATACAGAGTCAATCCGAGCTTCGTAATGTGCCTGTTGACGTGAACAGCCGTCACTCAACAGAGAAACGTGTCATGGACGGTTGCAACGTAATCAAACAAAGTGCTAGCTGCTAAGTTTTAGGACCCCTTCGTCCTAGATCGGTGATTATTTGATTGAATGTCTAGATATGGTAAATTGGAATATGTTTACGTGTTCATGCCTTTTCAGACGAAGCAAAACAAATAACTCAAGTATCACGCTATCAATGCAGTTGTACACTGAACTCATAGCAGTGAATTTACATCCCGGTGCTGCGCTACCTTAGCTCGCCTGCTATGTGTCCGAGGTAGCCTCTAAGTAAAGCTAAAGGGTGGGGTCATATCTGCCCAAATTAGCTCACACATCCAAACCTTTTCCTTCTTATCTCGGGGACTAAATCATGCCGAGAGCTAACGGCTTTTGTATTCTACATAAGATGCCTGCGACGAATTTGCGCTCCCACTAAGTTACGGGTTCATGCAAGAGTTAAGGCCAATCACGGCTCTCTAAATCACGTCACAAAGCTGCTGGCCCCGCGGCTTTTATCGGTTCGTTAACCCTGAATGGGCGGCGGCGGGGCGGCGGGTGCCTCCGCTGTCCCAGCACTCCGCCAATTCGTCTCGGTCAATGATTAGGGAGAATGGGCTTTCCACCGGCGCGGTAACGAGGTGACTCAGTGCACTGCTGGACCCTTTCTGTGAGTGTCTCCTGACTCACGGGCCGTGCACGAGAGACGCGACGATGGCCCCGCCGGGTCAGATCCAACAATAATAATCGGCGGTTCGGTCCGCTGAGCCAGTGCTTTCATTCTGTATCGGCGGGCTGATGCAATATTTCACCTGTGCTGAATGACTGCGTATTCATTTAAAGAAGGGTTGGATGATAGTCTTGTTGAGGACGGACAGAAGACGATCACGCCATCAGGCTCAGTAGCGGACTTTCCGCTACTCAGGGAGCTCCGCGAGCCTGCTGCGCTCGCTGTCGAGTTTCCAAACATATTGCATACGAGTTGATTTTTTATATCGCTAATTTAGGCTCAATAGGTACTTTGTAGAAATTACACAAAGTACATAGTGTATCATTTATGGTAAGCATTTTACACTGAATGTTTTGTCTGTCATCTATACCTAACTATGAAAGACTCTGATTACGACCTTTCACTGGTGCCCACTTGACTGGTGTACTATGATGGATCATATTTACCGTACATACATACTGAGCTGTACCACCCGTGGCCGTAGTATACCTACCATTGTAATGCGGCCTGCACCACTTAACCCGTATTTCAGCCGTTGACCTGCGCTCCCCTCTGCGTTACAGGGACGCCGGAGACGGCCGTGTGGTACGCGCTGCACAGCGCCGCCATCACACACGCACTGTACCGCGCGTGTCGGCGCGGAGAGCTGCGAGCCTGCTCGTGCGGGCCCCGCAGAGGTCACAGTCTAGAGCGCTGGAAGTGGGGCTGTCAGAGAGGCCTCAAATTCAGCGTCAAAAAGGCCAGAAAGTTTGTCAACTCCCGGGAAGTCGAACAAGACGCCAGGAGTAAAATGAACGTGCATAATAATAAAGTCGGCATTAGGGTGAGTATCAAAGCGACTATGTAAGCTGCTAAAGTCGCAGCGATGTGGTCACATGCCTAATTCCATGTCCATGTAGCTAGCTGACAGCTGAATCAGCATGCTATTGCTATCTCAATGGATAAAAGCAACACGCCTCCAAACAAGCTTTCGAGATAGTGGCGTTGCTTATTCGGTCAGAAATGCGAACGCCATGAGAGGCCCTACATGAATGTGTGTCTACCGCTCGGCTGTGACATGGAAAATGGCTTACCTCCCGTCGTCTTACCCTTGGCGTGACACCACGGGCACGTCCACGGCACGGCAGGTGGTCCATTTTCTGCATAGTTACTCTCTAAATTTGAAAAATAAATGGGAAATTCATGTTAGTAATAATCACGAGAGACCAAAGGCAGTAACGTATGGAAGTGCCTGAGCGTTACATGATAAATGGCTTGTTGACCAGACCAAGAAATGTCGGCAATAGGCGATGCGTGTCGGAATGTATAATCAAATAACCTTTTTTACTAAAATATAACACGTAATTCACTTGTGCCGTATTGCTTGGAGCAAACTGTCCAGTATAAGGGCAGCCGGAAATCGCACTTTTAGCTTGAAAGAAACACACGCATTTCACTAGTAGTTTGTTAAAGGTGAATAGTTTCGAATATGTGTTGAGATACACATAACTTGCTTAATTTTTAATTTCCATTTGTTTTTCCAGTTGTTTTCTTTGTGGCGCTTTCGAATTGCAGCTATATAGCTGGATCGTGGATAGCCTTTCACGAATAAAAAGCCAAAGCGAAGGCCGAAAATGTTATAAAAATGATTGTTTTTTAATTGATTGCGCGATCTACATGACCAGTCAGAAGGTCGTCAGTTCCATGGTGACAGCACAAAACAAACCAAGCCCCCATAGCTATTGAGCAACCTGCTTTTTTGTGATGGATGGATAAAACAACTTCGCTGCTGCTAAATGCTAATCGATGGAATATGCAAGTGCGGCTAATTGACACGCTTAGTGAACAAAACGTTACCGGTTTTGGCTATCGTCTGAACGCCTGACAGGAGATGTTCAAACAATGCTGGAAAAGTTAGTGAAACGGTGTCACCATTCTTGTCAGTTGTGAAAGGCTCTTACTGAAGATAAGGAGATAGATTGAATTTAAAATTTCCAATAAATTTAGTGCCCCTTTCCCACGAGTAAAAATGTCTACTTACCAGTGCTAGCGCTCGTTTACCTCATGCGTTACTGGCCGTATGCATCTGGACGTCAGGCGGCGCAACAGTTATGTGCAATTGGTCATTTTTTATTTTTTTATTTAGAATTTGTAAGTGTGTTGCTGTGGGCCCGGGTGCCATGATGAGCAGTGTTTGTTGCGGATAACAGCACGAACTCACCAACCAACTTTGCTCACACCACGTTCACCAGTAATAATTTTAACCGGCGCCCCGTAGGGGCGAGGGGCGAAACGCCCCCCCCCCTTGTCCTTTTCCGTGGATATCTCCTAAACGGCTGTAGATATCGCCACCAAACTTTTATAACCCCTCCGAGCATCAATTTTACACATTGTGACGAAAATTTGTTCCAGAGGCTATGATAGGTTGGCCACAAATGACGTCAGAATGACGTCATGTTGTGCCATTTTCGACCCCAGAAAAGGTTTCAAAAGCTGTCAGACCTACAGCTTTGAAGATATAGAAAAATGATCAGTACATTAAAGGTGTAGAGTTGACAGGGCTACAAAACTGCAATCTCGGATTTTTAAAATTTTTGGATTTTGACCCCTAAAAATTAAGAAAGTAATTTTTTGGATAACTAGCCAAAAATCCAAGAAGTTTTTGTGAAATTCGAAAAAAACGGAATATATATGATAGTACCTACCATCTTCTATCTACATACTAAATTTCAGATTGATATCTCCTTTTTTGGCCAAGTTCTAGGGAAAAAAATCTGTTTAAAGATGATGACGTCAAATTTTTCAAACTCAATTCTTGGCAATTCTAGACCACGTAGCGCAAAACAAAGACAACCATTAGACTCTTCGTGTCGAGCTGCATCGAATCGATACCCGTTTTATGCAAAAATATCAACTTTAAAATTTAACCTAATTTGACCTGACCTTGACCTGACCTTCACCAGAGCGTAACCCAAACTGGCCCCAAAGGCTGTCTGACCCACATCATCGCATTTGTCATGTAAAATGGACCATAAAACATGCGTCATAGGACACTTTTATATTGTGACCTCTAGTGACCTGACCTCTGTGACCTGACCTGGTATCAGTGACCTCAGATAGCAAAGTATGTGTTTGACAAACAATCTACCATCGATGATTTTCAATAACTTACCAATTAACTCGATTTCACAACACATTTCTTGAAATGCCTGTGAACGGTGAAAATCCGACCTTTGACCTGACCTGTGACGTCATCGGTTGGATCAAGGTCAATGAAATTTGGTCACATGGTAGCTCCTCGGTGGGGCTATCGAACGCCGTTTGAATTTTCAAAATCGGCCGGTAAATTTACGAGATCTTAGGGGGGCCGAAACTCCCCCCTACGGGTGGTAGGGTCCGCCGATAGCCTTACGGGGTGCGGGTTACTGCAAGTACGTCCTGAGGGGATTACTGCACCCTCTGACCTCCCCGATGAAGGGCGGCGCCCTTCGACTGCCTTGAGCGGGGTACGGCACCGTCTGACCGATCTGAGGAAGGACGGCGCCCTACGGGCTACGACTGCCCCCGGGAAGTACGACGCCCTCTGACCCCGTTTGTTTGTTTGTTTTGCTGGGTTAGGCATTGACTCTTTTGGTCTAATAAGAACATTGCAGAGCCGGAAGGATGATATGGAATTAGGGAGAGAGACTGCTTTGGGCGGGCACCCTGGTAACCCGTCGGAGCTGAGCCCATCACTTGGACAGGCTACCCAGCCCCCTGACAGTCACCGCACCCGACTACGGGCCTGCTCCTGGGTTGGAGCTACCGGCTATCCGCATGGGATAAAATTGCCCGTCCAGCCCGGAACAGGGGGTTGAGGTGTGGAGAAGGATTTAACCATCATGAGAATGGAAACGACGGAACGGCGGGTCTGACCCTGACTACCCCAAAGGTTACACAGCGCCGTCTGACGTCCTGAGGGAATAGAGCGCCCTCTGACTCTCACTGCCCTGAGGGCTACACAGCGCCGTCTGACGTCCTGAGGGAATAGAGCGCCCTCTGACTCTCACTGCCCTGAGGGTTATACAGCGCCGTCTGACGTCCTGAGGGAATAGAGCGCCCTCTGACTCTCACTGCCCTGAGGGTTATACAGCGCCGTCTGGCGTCCTGAGGGAATAGAGCGCCCTCTGACTCTCACTGCCCTGAGGGTTATACAGCGCCGTCTGACGTCCTGAGGGAATAGAGCGCCCTCTGACTCTCACTGCCCTGAGGGTTATACAGCACCCTTTGACTGCTCTGAGGGAGTGCCCCTGACCCTGCCGCCTTGAGGCTTATACAGCGCCCGCTGACGCTGACTACCCTAAGGGTTATAAAGCGCCCTCTGACGATCCGAGGGAAGTACGGCCCCCTCTGACTGCCCGGGGGGAGTAGAGCGGCCTCAGCATTCCAAGGGCAGTATGGCCCCTCTGACTGCCTTTAGGGTAACAGGGCCTCCTCTGACCCGTTGCGCGCCCGTTTTCAGCTGGTGTCGCGCCACTGGCGCCGGCCGGCGCGGTGTCAGCTGGTGTCGGGCATCTGTGTCAGCTCGGCGGCCAGGTGGCGCCAGGTGCCGCACTCGTTCTCGGCCATCGGGCTGCGGCTGGCCGCCGAGCGCGACCGCTCCGTGCTGGTGGCGCTCGGACCGGACGGCCAGCTGCGAGAGGTCGCCACCGGGAAGCGGCCCAGCCGGCGCCGGCTGGTGCACCTCGAGCCGTCCCCGGACTACTGCGAGCCGGACCCCGAGACCGGCTTCAGCGGCACCGCTGGCCGGCCGTGCCGCAAAAACAGCTCAGGTGAGCGGCCACACAGCGAGCGCCGCACACACGCATGGCGAACGGAGCGGAGCAGATCGCTGCAGACGAGTACGCAATAAAGATGAATAACGCGATTACACGATAATGAAAACTGTAGTACTTCATCATTTGATTTAAATTTGACACGTCCGGCGTAAACATGTTGTTGCTTTTCAATTCCGTATGGGGGGAGGGCAATAAACGGCAGGCAAAGGTATGAGTCGAATGCCAATGCGAGGACATACAAAACAGTTTTAACAAGGTCAATATGTGAGTGAATGGTATGATCGAATTAACTATCAAAGGAAGAAAAAAATCAAATACCACTACATGAGCAACGGCATCAATCATAGGTGAATTGGAAAAGCTCACGCATGAATTGAAATTATGTAGGAAACACTGAACACAATGAGCAATGACTTAGGCGCGCAGTTCGGCGTGTGACCTGGTTCCGCTCGTGCCCACAGCCGCCGGCAGCTGCGAGGATCTGTGCTGCGGACGAGGCAACAGCACGCGTATCGTGCGACAAGTGTTCTGCTGCAACTTCCATACAAACTCGGCCAGTCCGAGCCGGTGTCGGCAGCAGACACGGGTCCGGCAGTGCAACTGACCGCGCCAGGCCGGGGCGCCACTCCGGCCTGTCGGCCATGGGGAGCCCGCGAGGCGACCCCTGAGCGTCCGCGAGGCGACCCCTGAGCACCCACAGTCGACATGTCTTGCGGACGCGGCGATCAACTCTCATAGGATGTTTCTGTCTCACATTGTGATGGTCGTTGTTGCTGTTGAGGTGTAGATATATGCTGTGGGTTCACCATTCCTCCGTGCGTGGGTCGGAAGAGGAGGGCTTGCCAGGCTATGGTTCCAGGTTACATGCGTTGACAGTGTTACGATCTTGCCTCACTTGTAGAATGGACGACCTATTTTAAGCTCGACGAAACGGAAGCAGATGACACCGGGCTCTGTCTTTGTACTCAGCCCTTGGCGAGCTTTACCAGTATTACAGTGTGGCATTTGAGGCCGACATGCCAGCTGCGTATTGCCTGTTACATGCTCTCTTCACTGACCCTGCGTCCCGGATAATGTGGTACCCACTGACCTGACATGACGTTTGTTGGCCGTGCATTGTCTCTGCTTTCATGTAGATGGCAGGTCATTAGTCGATGCCTTCAATTTTTAGCGAACACTGAGCGTAGCCATACTCAAGAAATCGCACGGGTATGATCGCTTGATGTATTTATCTCCCCTACTGTTCAATGCATCATTTTCTTTTAATTTATTTTTTAATAAATGTCAGCAGAACTACACAATACCGGCTTAAAGAAGTTAAGTAGATACTGGTTTGCGGTATGCTCAATACCTAGAAATGATCAAGGAATGAATCCAACTCGATATACAGGATAAGTGATTAGATTTTTCTGTTAAAGGGAAAAGTATGTGACAATGACGGCGCAACCGATAAGGTATTCACTCGTTTACCCGACTGCCTCGCTGCGTGAACGGCTTTCGCCTTGATTCGCTGCGAGTCTTGACTCCCTTGCGGCTTTGAAAATTACACAATCCTACTATATCCATCGACCATCAGACATTATCGTCCTTGGCATCAGCGCCATTATCCAGTATCCGTTAATAGCCCTCGGGCGGCTCTAAAAATAGGAGTTACGCCGAGGGCGGGGATACCGCCAATCGCGCCTGAATAGACCCGTGGACCTGGAGCTGTATAACATCCATCCTAATGAGGGGTTAAGGCCGCATTTTTTTTTTCGTGGCCCAGCAACAGTCTTGAGCTGCGAACGATCGGCCAATATCGGGCAGTGAGATGAGAGGAAAGGGGGGAGAGACATCGGATCTAAGATATAGTCAAACACCGCACTGGTGCATGCTGCATACCCCCCCCCCCCCTCCCCCTCCCCCTCCCGCCGCTCTAGTGGGGTCAGGGAAGTCAGTCGTGGTTCCGTGTCACGTCAGTCTTGGTCCCGTGTCAGGGCAGTCGTGGTCCCGTGTCGGGGCTGTCGTGGTCCAGCAGTGTCACATCGCTCTGATCCGGTGTCGGGTGGTTCCTCTTGATCGGGTGATGGGAGGTCTTTGGTCCAGTGAAGGCTTGCTCGTAATCCTGCGATGAATCCTTTTTCCTGAAAGGTTATGGATCGTTCGGTTTGATGACAGGCTTATAGAGGACCGATGACAGGTCCCTCGCTTTCCCGTGGCAGTGCTGAAGGTGGAGGAGTGCCGTGCAGTGTAACCCTGCTTTTTCAGTCATGGCTTGGAACGGGAATCATAGACAATGGTCGCTTGGGGTCCCGACTCCCGTGACAGGTCACTCGGTTTCGATGGTACAGGCCACTAGTAGGCCAATGACAGTCTGCTTCCGGTGGCGCATCCCACTCCTTCCGAAGAGGTGCCTCACTCCTTCCGGTGACGCGTGCCACTCCTTCCGGTGACAGAACCAGGCATCATGTGAGCCCCGGTGTCGGCCTATCGGTGCCCGACCGCGCGCCGGTCCGCTCATAATCCATAAACAGAGGTCAGCTGACCCAATGGCCACGAGCGGCGCTGTTTACTCTGTTAGACACCACGCCGTGCCGCGACAGGCCGAGGGGGGCGACAGGCGCCGGCATTGACCGTCACAGACAATTACAGACTTTCACGGGAACGTCACGAGACTGTCACGAGACTGTCACAGGGTCGTCACGGACATCACGGACTGTCACGACCCATGGATGAGTCCCCGTCACCCTCTGCCCCGTCCCCGTGCTGTCTGTGACATGCGACACCGCCGGGTGCCGCTGCGGCTTCAGCTCGGGCTCGTGTTACGGCTCGGGCTGGGGCGGTTCGTCGGCTGGTGGCCGGCCGGGCCGGATAGGTGTGCCGTGGCGGCGCACAGTACCGCGGCGGACGGGCACGAGGACAGTGTGGCGCCGAGCAGGGGTGACGAGCGGAGGCCTGCGCTGAGCGAGACAGGACCGGCGCGGAGCGGACACGCTGACACTGCTCGGAGCAGCCACTCAGGTGAGGAGCCGTGCCGGTAGGGTGCATTGCCCCCCCCCCCCCCACCCCCACCCTCCGCCTCCGTGACCGGGCTGACCGGTACTGATCGATGGCAGGGCGCCTACCGGTGCAGGTGGGGACACACGCGGCCGTCGGCGCCGGTAGGCGGTAGCGCTGTCGTTGATAACTTCAAGCACTGAGCTGCTAAAAACCCTGAAATAATGGGATGCAGGTTAAGTAAAGCCCACGGTGTTCGTAAAAAAATGTAAATAACTAGTGATGAACATGCATAAACAGTAGCATATTTCACTTTCTTATTGATTATTTTGCTGAAATCGCAGGGTACCCGAAATTTGCATTACCAATGGCACCACTACAACTGTGCAGTGTGCACTGTGCAGTGTGCAGCGTGCAGCGTGCACAATGCAGCACCAGTAGCTCTCGGTACATTACTGTGTGGTCACACACAGGATGTCCTGCAGACATGCAAGTAGGTATCTTGTGGCCACTAAAAGGATGCCCACTTCCCATGGAGACGTGCTGGACGTCCTGTCGTCGAAAGTTTCCTTAATGTGGCAAGTATCCTCACTGCCGGATCCAGAAAGGCGGTCTTACACGCTGCGGGGAGCAGTATACCCCCCAAAAAGCTTCTTCAAATTAAAACAAGAATTCATCAGATTTGCATTCCTTACGCGCTGCTGTATCGTTTGAAACAAATTTTCACTTACAAGTTGTGTAGTTTTTGCTTTATTCTCGAAAAACCGCAAATTATCGTCGATTTCGGGCGCTGCGGGGAGGGGCATTTTCTCCAAATTGGGGCATTTGCCCCAAATGCCCCCCCCCCCCTGGACCCGCCAATGAGTATTATCCGCTCTTTATGGATTATTTGCACTGCGGGACGGGACGCCTAAGCATGTCTCCATGGCATGTCTCTTTGGCAAATATCCATGGGAAGCCAGAGGCGGATCCAGCTCAGAGTTTTTTTTTGGGGGGGGGGGCAAACCATAGAAATTTATCGATTCTTTCCATGCATCGTCCATAGGCGTAATGTTAAAATCATGCCGTTTGGGGGGGGGGGCAAATGCCCATTTTGCCCCCCCCCCCCCCTGGATCCGCCACTGTGGGAAGCCGGCACTTCTACCTAACCAACTATGCATTTAATTTTTTATGGAAAGTTTGTCGCAAAAGTCTGCTGGTAAGCCGATTAAAGGCTTTTCTCGTCACACTGTTGCGGTAAGCTATCTTAACATTGTTTGGAAAATTCAATTATTTTCCCTATATGTATAGTCGACTACAGAATGATGGTTCACTCCTTAGAAGCTATCAGTTCACCGGAGCGCTAAGTTGTGCCGTTTATCACGCAATTCAGCGTGTCGATTGTGAGCATTGGGACAAAGCTTTAATTTGTGAACTCAGCCCGTGTGATGCGGCACAGCCTACCACTCCAGGCAAATAATCGCCTGTGAAAAGTGGAGCATAATTCTGTAGTCGACTATACAATGTTCATTGTACCTACATAGGTTACACATACACGACGTTAAGAAATTGACTTTGAAATTAAAACTAAAAAACTAGATAGACAAACGTTTAACGACGGGCGAGTGGCGACAATTACTGAGCTTGTCTGCAATACTAACTGTACAGTGCCAGTGCCAAGCCGTCCGGTTCATCCGATACCTATGTCTTTCTGTCCGCTCCCGTACCTGAATAGGCCTAAGCTGTCTGCATCCACGGTTTGTCATTTATCTGTCTGCCTGTCTGTCTGTCTGTCTGTCTGTCTGTCTGTCTGTCTGTCTGTGTGTCGGTCTATATGCCTGTCGTTCAGTCGCGACAGTTACGCCCGTCTCTCCCCTTCCTGCTGTCCATCTGCTCATCTGCCCGTTTGCCCATTCAGTCCGTCCGTATGTCCATCTGTCCGTCTTTCCTTTTCACTCCGTTCGTCTGTTCGTCCGCCCGCCTGCCGTCCGGGCGGTCCGCCCGTCTGCCCCTTTCGTCTTTCCGTCTGTCCGTCCGCCCGTCTGTCCAGTGTCCACGCGGCCGTCCTGGTGCAGATGATCACGTGGTACAGCACACGCTTGCTGTCCCATCCTGTCGCCTGTACTGTCTGAGAGGGTGGCCAGCACACCACGTGTGTGAGGGAGGGGCTCACATACTCACCAGACGTGTCCACTGTCCCTGCCCAGGCCTCCAGGTGGGGCGAGGGGACACGAAGGGGAGGGGGCGGAAAGGACAGGGTGCTGGATGTGTCGAGTGGTGAACGATGAGATCGATCATCGTTGAGTTACCGGCCGGCAAATACGAACACTGACAGGTCATTGTGTCGCGGAATAGTGGGGACAGCCCCGGGAATCAGCAGTAGCTAATGAGTCTGCCCAGTGACCGGGGCCGTCTGACCGGGATGGATTACCTAGAGGTCATCTGCCTGGCAGCCCGGCTGGCGTCTGTCTGCAATATCCGAGCAATGAGCTGGGGTAGAAACGGGCATCGGTCGTAATGGCATTATTCTCCCCAAAACGGGTCTTGCAGCAGAGGCAAACAAGTCCCTGGATCGCAGCCACCCTCTATGATTGCATCACAACATGCTACCTGTCTTTTTACCATCTTTTGTGACCAGCAAAACCGATAAATATCCTCATTGATCAAAGTCAAGGATAACGTCTTGATTAGCATGCATTCGCAGTAATTAGCTGACTTTTCTTTTATTATCTAAAAAAAAATGACTGCCCTGGGTCTTCCTAGAATGGCATTCCGGTCCAATGACGTGTCGCGGTGTTTCCGGTGTCATCGGCGTCCAGTGCCGCCTCTCGCTCTGAACACACCATCTCGCCGGCGCCACAGCGCTCCCCCGCCGGACGGTGGGCCGTTTCCGCTGCCATTTTCATACAACGACCAACTGTGCCGGTCCCATCAGCCGTCAGTCTTCGTACGGGCGGGGCCACAGCTGCTCGTGCCTCACCGTCCCACGCCTCATCGTCACACGTCACACAAACACCTGAGTGACGTCACACGTGTCACGGTCACACGACAACCGTGCGTCATATCCACTGTCACAATCACGGTTATATGGTACATACGTGTCACACGGGTCACATTCAAGGTCACGCGTCATGCGGGTCACACGGTACAAATCACGACTCTACGATCCACGATCGGTTACTCGTTTCATCCTAGTCAAGCTCAGAGCTACCGACACGGGCCCACATCGGGAGTCTCCTCCTCCCTTGGAGTTGTGTGGTGCCGACGGTGGCGGATGGTAGTCTCTGTCTTGACAATCCTTACACTCCCTCTCACAACGAGAGGAGAACTACTAGCGGTATGCACTGCTAGCGGTTCAAGTGGTGACCGGCTACTCTCAGCCGTGCCACATTGGTGCCAGTCGTTGATTGAAAACCGCACGGGGACCAATTTTATCATCAGCCCTGTTCACAGCTGAGCATATCATCTATATTGCCTAGAAATGACGAGTGACGCTGTTCAAAAATTCCAAGATCATGGTTGTCGTGTGTGTGTAACGCAGCTCGGCTATTGCGGCATACCTTATCGATATTTTGTTTAGGCCGGCTACGGTGTATCCAAGTGTGCGCGTGGCCTCCCCAATGTTTTTGAACAACCGTCCAAACAGATACTGCGAGTATGAAGTTGGTGATGGCACTTTGCGATATGCTAAGCAAAAATGTATCACTAACGTAACCTTGCTATTTAAATGGTGCAGGTTATGTCCTGTCTATCCCTTTTCATATCAATCACCCGCCTATCAAAGAGGATCGAATAGTCGCATTGTTGACCCTGCGTTGAATATGCGAGTTGAAGTCCGGGTGATCTTCGAGATCAGTTTGCTAGGCGATGGCTTCAAGCATGGGCCTCGGCCGCGCCGATCGGCATTCTCGAGGGTGGCGCATGGAAAGGGATGGGTAGGACATATATCTGGGTATACCGGTATCGGTATGAGATAGTGATGTCAATTACGGAAAATCGGAATACCAATACCAAACCAAATACCAACCAAAACCGTGGAGAAATACCGAAACCAAACCAACTTGGGAACATGAGGAAAATACCAACTTTTACCGATTTCTTAGCCTCTTAAACATTAGCGAGGGTTCATGATACCAACAAAATACCAAACACATCAGGCTTGAAATACCAAATACCGAGTTGGTATCGGTTTGGTATCGGTATACCAAAAAATTGGTATCCGATTGACATCTCTAGTATGAGATAATATGGGTATGGGTAGAAGCCACCTGAGCTATCTCTCTAGGGAGACATTTGCGTATTGGTAGAAGCCAGGGTCCAGTTGTATCGTTATGAAGTGTATGGGTATCCGAAGGTTGGGACTTTTCAATTAGCCAAATCACTATTCTTTAGATTTGTGATTTTCTATTGAAAATCCCAACTGCAGCTACCTCTCTAGGGGACATTTGCGTAGGTATGGGTAGAAGCTGCACGGCCCAGTTGGTCCGGAGGGGAGGGAGGGCCCTCACCAAGGCGGTCTGTCGGGGAAGGGGAGGGGAGGAAGGACTACTCGGAAGTTTCGCCCAGCTGGTCCTCCGTTCAGGTGTTTAGGGACACCTTGATGTCATTGAGCAGTCCAGCCCCTGCCAACAACTGTTAAATGTGGTCCGGGGGGGGGGGGGGCAGGGAGGAGGGAGGACAGCTGCGAAGTTCCGAAGTTTCGAATACGACGATTCAGGTGTTTAGGAACGCATCATGGTATTGTCTGAGCAGCCCAGCTCCCGCCAACAGCTGTTATATGCGGCCTGTGTCATGTCCCACATATTCGCTGCTCTATTGTCAATCGTTTTCCGCTATCGAAATTAGTTTTGCATCGATATGATAACCAACTGTGGGTAAATATTTTTCAAAGACTCATCACTGGCCGCGTAGGGCTATGTGGCTAAACCATTCAAAGCGGCGCCGCCCCCGTCATGGTGACAGCGACAACACGCTACTGGAAGGTCGTATCGACTGCGGCGGCCACACCGACCGACCGACCGACCGGCTGACCGCTGCCCCCTACCTCCCCCCCCCCCGCCCCCGCCCCCGCTGACCGCCCGTCCCACACAGAGGCAGGCCGAGATCCCAGGTGCTCATTCATCGTTGGTCACAGGGTCCGTTTATATCTTGGCTTGATAGGGTGAGTTTGGTATAGAGAAGTCTTGTCTTGTATGGCGTCAGGAAATATCAAAGACACTTAAGTTGAAGCATGCTGTGCGATAATCATCTCCATTTAGACCTGAACTCTCGCCCTGGTAGGGGGGGGGGGGGCAGGTTGCAGCCAACTTTGCCATGGTGGGGGCTGAGGGTGTGGAGGGAGACGCATTTGGCCACACCCGTTTATGTCCGAAACTTAAAGGTAGAAAGATGCACAAAAACAATACCTAGCTCACTATAAGATATCTTTCAGAATAAGGCCATTTTTCCAGAATTATAAGGTCATCGCTGAGTTCACTGGAGGTCACCAAAAGTAATATAACGATTTTTTTCCGGTTTTGACAATTTTGCACACAAATCAGCGCATAACTCAGGAACGGATAGAGCTACAACGCCGTGGAAAAGCGCTCTCGATAGTTCTTTCGAATAGCTTTTTCTGAACAGCCCTCTCAGATTTTATCTATAGACCAAGCCTCCGAAGGGCAAAACCTCCTAAAATTTTATGTTTTTGGTGAAAACGTTTTTGCTGCAATAACTTCTTACACCAAGCTTGCGTTAACCCGCGCCGGGAATGTGCTCAGCGCCAACCACGGACCAACGGTTCAGCAGCTGCAGAGGGCAAAAGCTCGAAAAAATAACCGTTTTTACGAGCAATATTTTTCCGTAACAACTATTGACTCAACAAAGGCACGACATTTATTTTACCAGCATCGTGTTCCTCCCGCCAAAACACGTTGAATGAACTTTAACTTGACCTTCAAAAGGCCATTGCCATTTTTTTGACCTGCCAAGGTCCTGGTCGGAAAAGGTCAGGCTGCGTATCAGTCGATCCGCATAGTCGAGTTGAGCTCACCTCAGGCCTTTTGATTGCACTAGCGTGTTTCTATCAAAAGTTATTGTAAAAAAAAACTGCTGGAAACCTGTCATGGCCTGAGATGACCTCAGGGGCATATAGAGGAGTCATAGGTGGCAATTTTCCGGTTCAGTGTGCAATGTTTACTTGTTATCCGATGTTTGCGAGTGTTTAGTTTGACTTCCGTCCAAAAGAGGCGCATTTCAGTTTTATCCCATTGACTTATAATGTAGTGGTCGCAAAATTGGCCTGATCTTAGGTCAGAAATATCAAAACTTGGTGATATATATTTTATACATTATATCCGTTTTCACGACAGGCCTTCTGGCCTGAAAGCATCTTTGCAACCCAAAATGACAACTTTTAAGAAAACAATGAACCTAATTTGACCAAATCTGCACCCAATCTGCACCAAATGTGTACCAAATGGCTATCGTGAAAACGGCTGTTGTTACTCTTATCAATCGCTGAAAGCTTCAAAGTGATTGTCTAGTCGGTGTACCAACGCTGAAACGTATTCTGAGGTAAGGTCACTTGATGTGATCTGTTACCTGACCTTGAAAGACCCGGGTCTGAAATTTTTAGAACATGTGCAGAGAGGGGTGTGATAAGGTGTGCCAGAAACGGTGGCGGTGCGCGCCGCCGTTTTTCAAATATTTGCGAATAACCTGAGGGGCGTTAAAACGCCCCGCACCCCAGCAGGGCGCGGGCAAATGATTGAGTCATGGGAAGTTTTGACCAAGCTCATTCGCCATCGATGGCAGCGATTTACTTCGAAGACGAACGGAAAGACGTGTAATGGTTAGCCTAACCATCTAAGCTGCCCTACCACAAATGCTGAAAAACATCACGTTTGATCAAAACAATAGAAACTTGTACAGTGGGTCTATTTAAGATCTCCAGAGCCACCACGTGGCGCTACGGTCGGGTTAGGGCGAGTCCAAATCCCGAGGGAAGTGAGGTCACCGGTCATTGTGGGGGAAGGAGGGAGGGGGAGTGACGCGGTATCACGGCGCATGGGGCGTGCGTAGCGCCGGGAGTGGGCCGCCCGCCACTGCGCCGAGGCTGAGGGGAGGGGATGATGGTTGCGGGTGCGTTCACTCCGGTATGGTGACATCCTGTTCATGTGGAACCAGCAAGAATGCGACTGAAGGGAATCATTATCTCAAACAAACGGGCAAGCGAGAGGCAGCGCCAGTTCCAGCCAAAATGTTGAACAATGATAATTGAAATCTAGGACGTATTCATAGCATGCAACTATTCAGTCGATAGTTGCATGATGTCATAGGCTTTTCTAAACTGTTATTTGGGTTGGATATTTTTTCATTTGGCATGTTCAGTTTTGGTGGGTTTTATCGGGTCGAAAAGAATCAGAAAAGAAACTAGAGCTGAAATGGCTCCAGAAACATGACCAAAAAATATTTTCTTAAAAAATGAAACTTAGCCAAACATTCATAAGCGATAATTTCCACTTTTATGAGAGGATATTGGGGGAAAGATATTGGGGAAAGATGTCATCGTGCTTGTCTGTCTTGCAGTAGAAGGAAATGCTTTGGTTCGTGTCTAGATAAAACTTGATAAAACCAGACCCAGGAATGGGGCTCGAACTCACGACATCGCATTCAGCTCACAGGTTACCCAACCTCAACGCCACGAGCACCTATCGCCCTCGCAGCTTGCTCAGTGTTTCGGCTAAAGTTCGGCCAAACTGTCTGACTTCTGTCAATGTCACGAGGCGAAACCCCAATGTCAATGTCCGTCCCGATAGCTCGGTCGGTAGAGCGTTGGATTCCGTGTGGTGAGAGCGCACGTCCCGGTTGCAAAAGTCCGGGTTCGAAACGCGACGTGTGCTTGACGTTTTTGAGCCTCCTGACGGGTGTGGTTGTGGTTGGTGGCAGGCCGCTGCCAAGCGAAGTCATGAGGGGACCGGCCGTGCGCGGCTATGTGCGCATGTTAAAATTTAGACGCTAAATTCTGCCATAGACCAGGAATTGCTTGCTCGGAGGGTAAGGGCAGGGTCAACGCAACAAGCTCAGTTTAGCGGGGACTCTGTCCTTGTGATTCCTTTCATTCAAAAGCTTGAAATTTATATAAAAAAGGGGGAGCCGAACCAAGTCGGGCCGGGTTGAACCCGGTTGGACCGTTACACCAATCATGGTCAGACAAAACAGAGGCTAATATCGGGTCAATTATTTTTGTTAATTGATATTATTGTTTTTTAGCTTACACGTATAATAAATTTTAGCTTTTTTAACTCGAGACTTCATGCACAAAAATGTGGCATTCGTCCACTTTTCCTCATCTTCTCTTAGCGACTAGATTTGACCTTATAGGCCCATCTTACCAGCAGAAAAATCACCTGCGTGATAATTATTTGCCCAGGGGCGCTCCACGCAAGAAACGCCAGCCGGTTAAAAAAACTGGCGAACGATACGATCTTTCTAGTGCTTGAATTATATTCAATGAAAATTTCAGAGATAATCTTAATCCTTATAGCTACTGGGCGCTCGGAGCATTCGCTAGCTTTCCATTGCCAGCTGCATTACCAACAGCACATTTGCATTACTTTGGGTTCATCATAGTTCACAGTAGATGAACCGGCCACAGCAAACCCATGCCCCATTATCCTCTCCTTCCAAGCAGCCAAGCTAACCGGCCGCCCGGCCCACCACCGCGATATGGAACAACGCTGGAGTGCGCCATTTGCCTGCGGCAGTGCCCCACCGCGCCGGGGATGTTTGACAGGTCACCCGCACTGTGACCTCGCCACCCCCCCCCCCCCCCCCACCCACCTCCCCATCGGGCCCAGCCCGGTAGTGACCTCACCTTGAATATCACATGGACTCAACTGAGGCTCAACGCCATCTAGTTACGTCTGGAGATCCTTACTAGATCCACGTACATCAGAACCCTAAAATGGCCTAGAATAATCTCACTTTTAGGGAGTCTAGAGGTCCTCGTTTTCTGGAAATTCGGGTAATTGACCTTATCTGAAAGGTCCGCTAATGACCTAGGCACTTAAAATTGGACACCACCGGCTTCGTATCGTCACAGGAAACACGCTCGTTTTTTCTGCGTAGCTCTACATAGCAGAGGTTTATGCTCCAGCCCAATCAGGGGCTAAACAGCTAAAGGGGTCCAAACGATCATTTCGCTACAGGCATGGCCGCTGTAAAAAGGCCAATACAGAAGTAAAGATTTACAAGTATGTGTTTGCAATAGTTTTCACTGGAAACGTTTTTATTTTATCAGCAATGTTGAAAAAAAGCATTTAGGTTGTCCGATGTTTGCCATAACACGATGATGATGTATCAATCCTCGTAAAAGAGGTATCTACAATACTTGACACGCTTTTCCATTTTACCCATCATTTCATGGGAGCCCCGATTAAATGCTACAGCCAAGCCAAGCCAAGCTACAACATGGAATATCGCGCACAATGCGTCGGAGCTGTCGCATTTTAAAAACCAAGGTCAGTGATCCAGTGGTTAAAGAAAACTCGCATGACATAACTATCAGAATACGGCCGTTCGTTGCGTCGGCCTGCGCTGATGGTGCTCAAACTAAGTGTTGACTCTCTCCATGGGCAGGCAACGGCTGATGTTCCGTCGAAGGCAGCGACTGCTGGCTTCATGCGGCCTGTTCCTAGTCTACGTGGCGGTATCACAGCTGGCAGCGCGTTACTCGGCCGGCCCTCCGTCAGAAACCCATCCAGGTGAGCTTTGAACATCAATCAACACCGCATACATAGGTACAGAACACGACTGTCACATTTCCGAACCATCTGATCGATTTACGATTGGATTGGTCCGACTAAAAACGAACTTTTGAAAAGGTGCGGCTCGGTGCTGCGTTGACTGTTACGGCGCGATGACGGCATGTTGAATAGGTTACGATTTGATATCCGTCTCGCGTTTTACTGCGCTGAGACTCTGCAGGAACTTGACGATGCAATAAATCTATATGGTAATCATGGCAGCTGCGGTACGTCGGGGCTATCATATCTGGGCAAGAATGCCCTCGACTGGAACGCTACTCGGTTTGACAGGCGGTCGTCAGAATGTAGGGAAAAACCCATGCATTGCGGCTAAAATTTATAAAAATGTGCTTTGTTTGCTAATTAGGTGGATCAGAATCCATGCTGACAATTTTTGGTCATTGTGTGGGTAGTGACGTCATTTCACAATATAGTTAGGACTCCATTTCGGCGTAGCGCTGTCACGCACCTACGCGTCAGACCAGTCAGTCAGACAGGGGCGGGTCCAGGAAAACTCCGAGGGGAGGGTCATGGATCGAAGTGGTACCCCTACCTTAAGCTTAAATCAAAAACTCAACGGATTTCGACTACTTAACCCTCGCCGGACCTATTGGTTTTCTACATACGCGCCGGCCGAGGGGGGGGGGGGGCGGGTACGACCCCCACTCGCCGTTTCGCCCCTGGTGGAGCTAGCGCGTCGCGGAAAAAACGAGCGTGTGCGCCGTTACGAGACGCAGAGATTGGTACCCGATTTTAAGGTCCTAGGTCAACCGGTGACCTCTGAGGTCAGGTCAAGTGCCCCAAGGTACGGTTCAGTTTTTGGTGAATAACTTCGCAAAAAAACGGCCGCAGAGCGCCGATTTTGGCAGCATCGTGTTCGCCTCGCTCAGGCGCGTCGAATGATATACTTTTTGTCCGGGTCAGGTCAACTTGGGGTGTTAACCTCAGGTCAAGGTCAGGTCAGCACCCCCAGGTCACGAAGTTGGTCCAAAGAGGTCGTGTCGCATATCATTCGATTCGGCAGGCCTTCCTGAGTCCATTGGTGGTTTTCCCGACTCGCTAGCTCAATTTGAGCAAGAGTTATTGACGAAAAACTAATATGACCTTGATGACGTCATAAATGACGTCACGAAAGGTCAACATTGCAAAACTGACGCATCTCACCTTGCAAGGAGTGCATCAAATCACGATTCTGTGTGCTTGAGATAGTTGGAGATCGTTCCCGGCGCCAGAATAGCAGTTTTCATTTTTCCCCATTGACTTATAATGGTGAGGTCACGAAAATGACCTGACCTCATATGACCTTTAGGAAAAATCCGAGATATACAAGTTGTGGGACTCATAATGGATACTAGATCCTGCAAGTTTCATTTCCCTGTGACATCTCCTCTGGCAGTGAGGGCGTTGCGAAGTTGCGACATCTGAAGACCGTGCAGAGGTTCACTTGTGACGTCATAGGTCAGTGACCTGACCTGACCCAAAAATGCGGTTGGTGTCAAAAGATCCGGCTTGGATCAAAGGTCAGGTATGCCAAGTTTCAGCTCTCTATCGCCAGCGTGTTCGGAGCTATCGCGAAAAAACCCTATGGGGGGGGGGGCGGCACCCGCCCCCCCCCCCTCGGCCGGCGAGGGTTAAATTTGGTGGTGTCCTATTTTCAGTTTTTTTCTGTTTTATATCTTTTATTTTGGCCAGTGTGCACCATGGTGCTCATGCGAAACCGTTGGTGCCCCTGCTAGGCCGGTGGTGCCCCCGACAGGCCTGTGGTGCCCCCGGGCCCCAAGGGGGGAGCATGACCCATGTGACACCCCCCCCCCTTTGGATCCGCCACTGCAGTCAGACAGTCCCGGACACGTGCCGCGGTGCGCAGTCCCTATCGAAGACGGTGCCGTCAGCAGCGAGCCACCCCTACTGTGTCCAGTAGGGTGTGTCATATCAAATATTTTTGTCTCAGATCAAGCGCTTCCGCGGATATTCCTTGTCCCTGGGTTCATTGAAGCCCATTGGCACTGTTCTTTTTTCGCTGCACCGAAAATTCAGGCGGCGCGAGCCCATTCAATTTCGACATTTCCCGTGGCGCCCGGCGTTGAAGTCTCCATACTGAACACAATGCGTACCGTAGCGCTAACACCAGCCATATGACTCGCCGTCGGCCTGTAGCGGCCAACACCGTTTGACGGTTAAAATTCGATTGCTATTTCTTGTTTAAATGGACGTCGGACGAAACATACTGTTATCTTAATGTGTTGAGGCCATTCAGGACCCACAGATGATCAATATAATAGGACATAGGCGGCGGAACGGGGAGGGCACTGGGGCACCGTGCCCCCTCTGATTTTGGTATTTTAACATTAGCCCTATGGGCGTTGCATGGAAAGAATGGGACCAAAAGTCGGCAGTGCCCCCCCCCCCTTAATTGAAGGTGTTCCGCCGCTACTGTACGTAAAAGGATCACGTTGCAGCCTTGGCAAGACTATCACGAGTGGGGCAGGGAGATTGAGAGCACGGATGGACAGAGGGCAACGTGAGCGGGGTCTCGGGTATCACCCCTCCGTCGGCAACACAATGTGTCGGCTTTCGAGTCATGTGCTGTCTCCCCGAGACACACGAGCTTGCAAAGAACGTGAGTAAGTCTGGTTTCAGCTGCGGCGTGAGCAGAAGTGCGTGTGGTGCAATCGAATCGGACTATACGTGCCGCGGTGATGCCGTGGTGAAGCAAGGCGAAACATTTTGTTATCGGGTCTCCCAGTGTGCTGCGGGTAAATCAGCTGCCTACCAACAGAGATGTACTTGTAGTGAACTATGTGAGACTCTTGGCAGAGGATAGAAAAAGTGAGCGGACAGTCACTGCATGTTTACGTGAAGCAGCGGAAGCGGTGGCTGCAATGTGGTCGAGTGAGGGCATACCAACGATACAAATGCACAATGTGGCTCGGAAGGTAAAGCAAGTCTACGAAAGATTTCGCCAATCGAACAAGGTGTCCGAAAGAATGTGGGAACTGGGAGGGACAAACGAAACAAAGTGTTTCTGAAGCGAGTCTGTTTCGTAAGCTTTTTGACATCGCCCGCTGCCGCTGTAAAGATCGGCGAAGCTGTACCTGTCCACTTTCAAACCGGGTACCGTCAGCGGAAATAGCATTCCTTCGAGACCAGAGAGGAGTTTGGAAGATGCGACTGGGTGGTGTGGACTACGAGGAAACGACGTAAGACTGCGAGCCTTAGAATGAGACGGGAGCGGAACGAGGGGAGGGGCGACGTGGGTCAAGCTCGTCCTTCCCACCTCCGTACCTATTCCAACGGCGTCAATATCGACGAGACAGGCCAGGTAATATATTCCTGCCCGGGGCCGGGATGATTCAATAAATGTCACCGAGGTTTTTTAGCGAAAACTCCGAGGGCCGTTAGGCCCGAGGTGCTTTTCGCTAGAAAAGCGAGGTGACATTTATTGAATTCCCGGCCTTAGGGCTGGAAGGTGTTTCCCATACCTGCCAAAAAGCTCACAACTATAATTGATAGTGACGTCAGCAGCCGTGTGGTTCAACGCGTTTAACCAGTAACCACACCCCTTGAACCACACGGCTGGCAATATTAAAGCACTGCATTAAACTTTGAAAAGTGTGGTACAGTGCACGTGTCATTAAAATGCCTGGATGTCTCGATTTAATCATGCAATGTAGCAGGTATGGGAAAGACTCGTCGGCAACGACCGACACCAACGACAGTAATGAAGACGTCACAAGTGAATTTGAGATGAAGAAATGCATCAAAGACTCAAACGATGATGATATGACAAACACTGCACTGGCAGCTGACTGACAGGTATGCTTTATCCAACCGTGCTGTAGCGGCCGTCATCAATGGTTTTCAGATGGATGTCGGTCGCGTAGCGAGCGGCAAAACAGAATTGCTGATCGACCCGAAAAAGTATGGAGAGAAAGATGCCGGATGAGACAAAGTACCGTGGCCGCGCGGGACCAACAACACAGCGACGCTGAGCTCAAGGCATACGGTCCATTGGTTTGTTTGCCAGCTGCACTCGAATGAGCTTGTACTCAGGGAAGTGTTCCAGAACTTGGACGGCAAAACCAGTGGACCCGGATCATTCACGGGGCCGTTGGGCAAGGCAGCCGACGGCTCCGTGCACCGTCTTTCTCCCGTGAAGTTCCGACCGGTGAGCGGCCCAGAGCTGGATCTGCCGGACAACATCATCGCCGACCTCAGCAGCGACAAGCTCCTGCTGTATCAGCTCACCAGAGCCGTGCGGACGGGCAACATCTCTGCAAAGGAGGCCTGCAAGAAAATCGGTCCCCTGAACCATGCAAGGTATGCAAATGCTAATTGAGTTGAATTCAGTTTGCTATTGAATGGCAAAGATGCATCTTTTCTGTGTAACCGTTGTCTAAATAGAGGATACTGCCTCGTTTGCATTGCTTACATCCGTATTGACAGCGTCTGTCGACGCTAACAGGCGAAGACGCGCACGGCTGGTGTTAGTGTCATCAAACGCATTACGCCAAACATGGAGACTGCAACGCCGGGCGCCACGATAAATCCCGAACTTCTTTCAGCCGGCGCCGACCGAATTTTCGATGCACGGGAAAAAGAACTGCACCAATGGGTTTCCATAGACACAGGGACAAGGAAAATCAGCGGAAGCGCTTGATCTGTTTCTAGTGACACACCCTAGTGTCCAGCTGTGTGACCTGCCAATGACACGAGGGTGACCCGACCAGTGACCCGTGTTGACCTGAGCAGTGAACCGCGGGTCTGACCTGACCGATGACCTGTGTCTGACCTGACCAATGACCCGTGTCTGACATGACCTGTGTCTGACCTGACCAGTGATCCTTATCTGACCCTGATCAGTGATCCGTGTATGACCTTGCTATGTATTGTTCACATAAACACAGGATAAAGACTTAACTAATGATAATGCAGTTGCACATTTCGACCTGCACGCGAGAGCGTCCGTCGTTGACCGGCGCTCGTCCAGCTCTCCCCCGGCCGGGCCACGGCCAGCCGGCTTCACCTTGCCCACGTGACCGCCGCGGGGCAGGTCGGCCGCCGGCCTTCCCCTGCCGGCCGCGCCGGCCCAGCGTCAGTTCATACGACACTACAGACCTGAACGGTGGACGGTGACCCTTGTCTGGCCTGTCGTTAGACCGGGACTGACCTGACCGCTAGCCTGTGTCCGACCTGACCAGTGACTATTGACCCTGGTCTGACTGACCAGGGTCCGACCAGACCCTATCCGACCTGATCAATGACTAGTGACCCTGGTCTGACTGACCAGGGTCCGACCAGACCAGACCCTATCCGACCTGACCGGTGACTAGTGACCCTGGTCTGACTGACCATAGACCCTATCCGACCTGACCGGTGACCTCAACCTTTTGACCCGCCAGGAGGCCGCCGGCTGCTGCAGACGGTGGCCCTCTCGGAGCCGTCGCCGCCAGCGCAGCTCAACTGCAGTCGGCCGGCCATCGAGCGGTTTCCGTCGAGCGGGCTGACCCAGGACCAGCGCCGACATGGAGGCGTGGTGCTCTACATCGCCGCCGCGCTCTACTGCTTCCTCGGACTGGCCATCGTCTGCGACGACTACTTCGTGCCGGCGCTGGAGGTGAGAGGTGGGGAGGGAGGAAGGGATGGAGAGGAGAGGAGAGGAGAGGAGAGGAGAGGAGAGGAGAGAAGAGGAGGGGAGGGGAGGGGAGGGGAGGGGAGGGGAGGGGAGGGGAGGGGAGGGGAGGGGAGGGGAGGGGAGGGGAGGGGAGGGGAGGGGAGGGGAGACGAGACGAGACGAGACGAGACGAGACGAGACGAGACGAGACGAGACGAGACGAGACGAGACGAGACGAGACGAGACGAGACGAGACGAGACGAGACGAGACGAGACGAGACGAGACGAGACGAGACGAGACGAGACGAGACGAGACGAGACGAGACGAGACGAGACGAGACGAGACGAGACGAGACGAGACGAGACGAGACGAGACGAGACGAGACGAGACGAGACGAGACGAGACGAGACGAGACGAGACGAGACGAGACGAGACGAGACGAGACGAGACGAGACGAGACGAGACGAGACGAGACGAGACGAGACGAGACGAGACGAGACGAGACGAGACGAGACGAGACGAGACGAGACGAGACGAGACGAGACGAGACGAGACGAGACGAGACGAGACGAGACGAGACGAGACGAGACGAGACGAGACGAGACGAGACGAGACGAGACGAGACGAGACGAGACGAGACGAGACGAGACGAGACGAGACGAGACGAGACGAGACGAGACGAGACGAGACGAGACGAGACGAACGAGAGGAGACGAACGAGAGGAGACGAACGAGAGGAGACGAACGAGAGGAGACGAACGAGAGGAGACGAACGAGAGGAGACGAGACGAGACGAGACGAGACGAGACGAGACGAGACGAGACGAGACGAGACGAGACGAGACGAGACGAGACGAGACGAGACGAGACGAGACGAGACGAGACGAGACGAGACGAGACGAGACGAGACGAGACGAGACGAGACGAGACGAGACGAGACGAGACGAGACGAGACGAGACGAGACGAGACGAGACGAGACGAGACGAGACGAGACGAGACGAGACGAGACGAGACGAGACGAGACGAGACGAGACGAGACGAGACGAGACGAGACGAGACGAGACGAGACGAGACGAGACGAGACGAGACGAGACGAGACGAGACGAGACGAGACGAGACGAGACGAGACGAGACGAGACGAGACGAGACGAGACGAGACGAGACGAGACGAGACGAGACGAGACGAGACGAGACGAGACGAGACGAGACGAGACGAGACGAGACGAGACGAGACGAGACGAGACGAGACGAGACGAGACGAGACGAGACGAGACGAGACGAGACGAGACGAGACGAGACGAGACGAGACGAGACGAGACGAGACGAGACGAGACGAGACGAGACGAGACGAGACGAGACGAGACGAGACGAGACGAGACGAGACGAGACGAGACGAGACGAGACGAGACGAGACGAGACGAGACGAGACGAGACGAGACGAGACGAGACGAGACGAGACGAGACGAGACGAGACGAGACGAGACGAGACGAGACGAGACGAGACGAGACGAGACGAGACGAGACGAGACGAGACGAGACGAGACGAGACGAGACGAGACGAGACGAGACGAGACGAGACGAGACGAGACGAGACGAGACGAGACGAGACGAGACGAGACGAGACGAGACGAGACGAGACGAGACGAGACGAGACGAGACGAGACGAGACGAGACGAGACGAGACGAGACGAGACGAGACGAGACGAGACGAGACGAGAGGGAGCGATAGAGAGGGACTGAGGAAGGGAGAGAGGAGATGAGACACCTCTGAATGAGTGAAATAGATTGCGAGATATGCGGAACTTGGATGACTGCTGTCTGATGAGAGGTTGATTAACGGCGCACACATGGGCGTAAGACGAATAAGATGATCGTGAGATGAGATGATCCTGGGTGAGATGATCGTGGGTGACCACTGAGCGGTCTGACGTGTCGTACCCCGTCCGCAGGTGACGGCCCACTCGCTGGGTCCGAGTGGACTGACTTAGGTATATACCGTGCCCCGTCTGCAGGTGACGGCCCACTCGCTGGGTCTGAGTGAGGACGTGGCCAGTGGACTGACCTGTCGTGCCTCGTCCTGTTCCACAGGTGACGGCCAACTCGCTGGGTCTGAGTGAGGACGTGGCCGGTGCCACTCTGCTGGCGGCCGGCAGCTCGGCCCCCGAGCTGGCCACCACCACCCTCGGCGTGTTCGTCACAAAGGTGAGAACACTCACCATCAGAACCTACCTGTATGTTATTTATAAAATGCTTGATATACCTATTTGATATGTAAGGGTATGCTCGTCGCATGTGCATACCTAAAGATCCTCGCTAGTCCTGAAATGACCCGGAACTATCGTGGTGAAGGGAAATTCATGAGAGAAATATTGATGTCAAGTGTGCAACTATAAAAATAGCAGAACCTGGATGACGGCACAGCAGGATCAACTCATTTACATAGCCTTTGTGCACTGCTCCTCCGGTCGTTTCTTGTTGAGTGTGATAACTAGGTAGCATCATGCGTTTCTTTTTACGTTCCGGTCGTCCTTTTTCTATTCACTCGTTTCGGTGCATCAATTCATCATGCGCGACCTCTTCTCTCTCTCTCTCTCTCTCTCTCTCTCTCTCTCTCTCTCTCTCTCTCTCTCTCTCTCTCTCTCTCTCTCTCTCTCTCTCTCTCTCTCTCTCTCTCTCTCTCTCTCTCTCTCTCTCTCTCTCTCTCTCTCTCTCTCTCTCTCTCTCTCTCTCTCGCTCTCGCTCTCGCTCTCTCGCTCTCTCGCTCTCTCGCTCTCTCGCTCTCTCGCTCTCTCGCTCTCTCGCTCTCTCTCTCTCGTCCCAATAGGACGACATCGGTATCAGCGGCGTCATCGGCTCCGCCGTGTTCAACGCCATGCTGGTCATTTCGCTGGTCTCCCTGCTGGTCGATGACAAGATCCGCATCAAGTGCTACCCCATGCTCAGGGACATCCTCTGCTACCTGATCTCTATCGCTGCCCTCCTCGCCGTCATCTACGACAACTTCATCGCGTGGTGAGATGATGGCACACGGGCTGGCCAGACGGGGAAATGTATAGGCCAAGCCAGGCTTTGGCTGGTATCCAACCCAAGCCCGTTTGAGTACGAGACATGGTCAGACAAGTTGTCATTCCATCATAAATCAAATTTTGAAATTGCAAACATTCTATCGCTAATTGTCGTGGTTACGGTGTTTTGTCTCAGAGCAGCTTAGGGTGGGTTTCTTTGAAGCGCTTGAGCAAATACTCATTCATAGACCTCTACCGGGTCGGGTAAAGCAGAAGACTTTGGCTTATTATTCACACATTGTTGACCCTTTCCTCGAGGTTTGTTTTTATATCCTATGGCAGTGATAGTTCTGCTGAGTTTCCATTCTCTGAGTGATTTCAATATATCCGAGTTTCCATAGTTGTCCTGTAGGGTGAAGTCGTATAAGAGTACGCACTTAGTGGATTTCTTGCTCTCATTTGTTTAATATTTGAAGGAAAGAAATCGCAAATAGGGAATATTAAAGTTCATTGAATTAGCCATCAACCCATGGGGCAACGATCCCTCAGCGTAAATGGAAGTGGTCTAAAACTGACATTTTCTGAACCGTTGCACTTGCGTACTCTTACCATATGGGGTGTGTAAGAGTACGCACGCCAGGCGGGTGGAGTACGCAAGCATATGAACTCACACCTATGCAGCTTGCACTGTCCAAATGCTTAACTTCAAACTGAGAAGGCATTTAAGTTAATTCTAGTATCCAAAAAGAAAAACATAAAATAAATCTTTCAAGTCTATAAATCAGGAAATAATCATGTCGTGTGTTTCTTAAAAAAATGCACAATCAAAAAGGAGAATAACTCGTATTTGGAAGAATTTTGGGTACGCATCTGCATCACAGTGCTCCATTGATGATGTACCTACAAAACAATCGTCATTGAGCGATAGATTAATAATTCTATATTTCTGTATATTCGATTTAATGTATAATTCTGCGTACTCTTACCCTCCTGAACAGTGCGTCCTCTTACCGTACATGCAATTCGCGCACAAAACAACCCCGAAACGTTGTGCAAAACTTCGCAAACAGAATATTGCACTGTACAGTGTTTCCCCAGATAACCTCACAAGTTTCCCACAATAATCACGGAAATGTTCCTTATCGCAACTGCAAAGTATCAAAATTATTGTACCATATCATAATAATATCATAACGCTCGAAAATAATATTCATCGCCTTAAACTCAACAGCGTCGCCGCTCAACGCCCACGTTCCGTTGGTGACATGCACGCACTGGCGGCTTCATGTCACTTCATGAACTCGACAAACCCGCGTTGCTAAGCAACCGAAACAGCTGATGCGTACTCTTATCGCCCGCGTACTCTTACCCGCCCTTACCCTACTGACAGCGGCTGTGAGTGTGACGTGGCGCCGCGGTTGACCGCCAGGTACGAGGCGCTGGCGCTGGTCTCCATGTACGTTCTCTACTGCCTGGTGATGTGGAAGAACCGCGCCATCGAGCGCTGGATCCTGTCCCGCTATCTGAGCGCGCCCAGCGCCGAGAAGCGGTCACTGATGACGCGCGACCACCAGCCGGCCGCCGCCGGAGACTCCGAGGAGGGTGAGAAGGGCGCGCGCGGACAGGGCCAGGAGGTGGAATTTCAGAGAAAGTCGAGGCTTGCAAGAGGTAGGTACTGAAACAGACGTGTCCAGTTTCATCAGACATGCCGACGAGTTGATGTTTAAATGTTGTAGGTATAGGTATACAAAGGGAAAGGGTGAAAGTGAAATAAAATAAAAACTGGAAGCAATTAGGATGATTATTCATTTACATGAATATGACGGCATTAGGCAAGCGGGACTGCTTGTGGTTTCAGAACCTTATATATTTTTTGTGGACCAAGTGCTTCAGAGCACTAATCCTGTCCAAACTGGCGGGGAGCGATAGGGCCTATACCTACCTTCCCCGGGAGCTGAACCCGAACGGCTTGGCCCAGAATCATGTTCAATGTTAGTTTTTTATGAAATTATCGGTTTTATTGTCCCCGATGCAGCTCAAACTGAGGAAGACGAGGAAGGTGAGTGACAAGATTGCGTCGCTTAGGTCAGTTTTCAATAACCGAAATAATATACCTAAAGGAAGAATTGCTCCTAGTACAAGCTGTACTGTATCTGCATTTCTTATTCCTTTTTCGATTCCTTCTTTGCCTTCGTCTCATCGACCCGCATCGAAAGGGCAACATCTCCCCCTCACCTCTCTATAGAGCAAATGGGATAGAGAAAAATGACCGGCTTATCAATGTTTTAGGCGACACGTCAAGACAGGGATCACAAACCAGTAGATGACGTCGGTTTGTTCCCAAACACCTCAGCGGTCATTGAACAGCAGTTGACCCGTGCGCATCTTACTGCAGACGCGTCGGAGGCGATAGAGCAGGAGATGACTGCCAATGTGCACGAGGTGCCGTATGACGACAACGACACCTTCCGCTGGCCGGACGGCACTTTCAGTCGGTGAGCTTCAGATTTATTTTGCTTTATTCAATCAAACACAACCGGCCAAACGTGGCATCCGTCACTCCATGACTATGAACCACTCATCCTCATTAAGCTTAGTGAATGGTGTGCCTGTGCAGCCAAATTCTCAGTTCCGATAGGCACACCATTTGACCTTTCTGTCTCACTATTCATTATATTTTGGCAATCAGTGACAGTGCTAGGAGTATTTTGGCATTTGTATTGACAAACCGGTTTATGACGATGAAAACGGTCAACGAGGGCTGTCAACAATAGGGTCGGGAAACAACGCCCGATTTCTTGGCTGTTTTGGTTACCATGCTGCACAATACCTGCGTCCTTCAGCCCCGGCTGTCATTTCTTTGGTTGGTTGTTGGCGATGTTTTCATCCTCTCTGCCTCAGATACGGCCTCGAGCCATGAGAGCCTGTCCTTAGGAGTCGGCTGAATGATTGGGAGCGAGGTCTAGATCGGACGTCGACTATTTCTGTGGTCTAGCTTATTTCTGTGGTCTAGCTCGGCAGCCCAAGGCTGCCGAGCTCCCGGAGAAAAGAGGAGCACTATGATAACCTGAGACGACTTTTAGAGATAGGATAGCTGTAGGATAAAATGCCAAAACTAGAAGCGATATAATGGACGATAAGCTATAATAACTTATCAAAGATCATTGGCATCTTATTTCATTCTAACAGTAAATATCCAGTCATCCAAATTGTTTGGTAGATGCTGGGTGGGCAGACGCCAGACAGTATGGGTAAAAATTTCCTGTATACGGAACAAGCCAAGGAGTTATGTCATACAGTGAGCCCAAGGATGCGATACATTTGTCACGCGCTCGCCGTGCACGGGCACCCGATCGGGTTCGTCCCCGCTAAATGCACATCGTATATCCTTCGTTCACACTTGTGCAAATGTCACCGGGGAAGTCACGATGTTTGGTCTGTTAAAGGACACGTGTTTAAACCTTGGATGCAGACGAGAGGATAAAGGCACATGACGTAAATGGTCAATAAATGATCATGGATAACTTGGAATCAGTCACGCTCTCATTTCGTAAACTAACTATTCCAATAGCGATTGTTGGGGACGACTGGGTAAACACGTCGCACCCTATCCCCTCCTCGCTGACCTCAGTCACTGATCGTGTGACCCCCGGCCGGTCAGGGTGCTGCACGTGATCTCGCTGCCGATTGTGGTCGGGTGCTACCTCACCATGCCGGACGTGGGGAAGCGGCGCTGGCGGCCCTGGTACCCGGTGACGTTTGTGGTGGCCACCCTGTGGATAGCGCTCTTCTCCTACCTGATGGTCTGGATGATCACCGTCATTGGTGAGTCGAGAGGGCGCCAGCTGCAACTCATGCACCGTACGCTGCACTGGGCCGAATTTATTGGTGGATAGATATAAACTAAATGATTTGAGACTAGCATATAATCGTAAATCGATCCATAAATGTATAAAAACTTGCCATACAACTGAAAAAGAGCAATCAACTGAGTGTTCATTTTGGGGAGACAAGTGACGGGATTCCTTTTGTGACCGTGACAGTGGATTGTGGGGGATCTTGAGCGTTAGCATGGTAGAAGGTCGTGAAATGCAAATGACCCTTCCTCAGTCTCTCAATGAAGATACATCACACGTTGTTACGTTCGGAGGTCGTCCAGTCAGTAACTAACTATACCCCACTCGTCCCCTCCCCTCTAATAAGCGGGCGCGGATAAACACGAGCACGACCGCCCGAGCAGGGTCACCCCGACGCTGCCCGGGCGGGTACCTTGGGAACGCCAGGCATCTGCCACTGGTTTTTCCTCTGCGACCGAGAGATATTAGAAACGTGAAAACCACCGCGCTTTGGACGATTTCTTATTGTTTAATATTTATCTTTCCGAGGCATATCATTTCATTTCGGGCTGCCCAAGACAATGAAGCGGACGAAAAGCAGTTAATTACGAAAATTATCAGGGTTTAACTGTCCAAAAATAGCTGATGGAAACCTCTCGGCATGCCTACCTCCTCAGAGGTCAGTGCGGCTGACTCACGTCTTTCCAGTATGGATTCATTGATGCTGTCAGACGGCGGCTGGCGTCTGCTAGCAGCCACATAGTGGCCGTTTTCACGACGGGCTATCCGGCGAGTGCACCTAATTTGACCAAATCTGCGCCTAATCTCTTTTACAGCAAATATCTGTATTTTATGAATTTATTTCAGTGTTTTCATCGATGATCTCTGATAAATGACAAAGCAGGCATATAAGCAATTAGTGCAACCCTAGCTGATAGCTAGTAAGAGACACACTGAGCCTGATTTAACCAAATCTGCACCTAATCTACACCTAATGTGCACCAGATGCGTACCAGATGGTCGTCGTGAAAACGGCTAATGGCATTTCCGCGAGGCCCTGCACAGCTCAGACAGGGGAGGGCAGGAGGGGTCGCAACAATCCCGTGGGTCGGAAAGTATCACAAATGATTGGGTCTTGACAGTTGACTGAGTCCGGCAAAGCCCGATCTGTGCTGACCTGCGGCCCTCGGTGTTCCCGCAGGTTTCACGATGAACATCCCCGACACAATCATGGGTCTATCATTCGTCGCCATCGGCGTCTCCATCCCAGACGTGTTGGCCAGTGTGGCAGTCGCCAGGGACGGTAAGGTCGTGGGGTCAAGTCACAGGGTAATGTCACCGGGTCAGGTCACGGGGTTAGGTCACGGAGAGCAGGGGTGGGACAGGTCTCAGAGGGGTTAGTGGATTAGATTTAGGTCAGCTCGCGGAACCCAGGTTTGATCGTAGTCCGGTCTCGGTGCTGGGGCCACAAACGAGGTGATCGGCGGGCCACAGAAGGGGGAGCATCCACCGCTCGGTCGATGACAGCACACCGTGCACAGCCCAGCTGTGCACGGTCCAAGGGCGCTGTGCGGTCGCCCAGCCCCGCCCTCAGCCGCCGCCGCCACCCGTCTGACCGTGCCCGTCCGGCGTGCCGCAGGGTACGGTGACATGGCGGTCAGTAACGCCCTCGGCAGCAACGTGTTCGACATCCTCTTCTGCATGGGCGTGCCGTGGCTGATCTCGACGCTGCTCGTCTACCCGGGATCGTACGTCAAAGTCGACAGTGGAGGTGAGATCTGCAAGCTCGATATTATACGATTCGCTGCTATGCCTACTGCATAGGCAGTGGAATGGAAGTGTTTTCTACGTTTTCGGGGCGCCTAACGTTTTCGTAGGCGCCATGGGTCCGGGTAACACTACATTAGGGGGGGAACAAGGCGGAACAGAGTTTCTTAGTTAGACAGAATAAAGGTGTGAAAGGTATTTTGGAAAGTTCGTGTCGCAATCAGTGTAACTCTAGCAATTCGTGGACGATTCGAGCCACAGCAGTTGGAACTTGACTTTTTGGAGCAGAGGTGACGACGCATCGAAGTCGAAACACCCATAGCTTTCAGTCTCTGCCGCCACCTGGTGGCGGGAGTACAAACCACTCGTTACTACCTCACTCGAGAGAGGCGCTGCGTACAGGCCTCGCTCCCGGGTAACCTCTGTGGTGCAAACTGACGAGTGACGAACCTTGTGCCACGCCGCAGGGATGCTGTACTCGACCGTGTTTCTGTTTTCGACGGTGATCTTTCTGCTGGTGGCCACGTACCTGAGTCGGTGGACGCTCTCCAAGCCGTACGGCATCAGCCTGCTGGTGTGGTACGCCCTGTTCCTCTCGGTGGCCTGTCTGTACGAGATGAACTTCTTCGGTCAGATGACCCTGCCCATGTGTTCCAGCCTAGCCTGAACGGTGGCCGGTGCTACCAGCGTGCTGCAAACATAGGTAGTCCGAGGACTGTGGACCAGCTCCCTCGCTTTGAAGTCGACTAGCTACGACCTCAATCACATGGTCTCGAAGAAGAAGCGAGGTTTAAACGTTGTTAGCGAATATCTCTCGACTCGGCCGATATAGGTATCGGCAAAAAGCGATGAAACCTATTCGAATCTCATGTTGAACTAATTCTTATTGACGTTATCAGGCGTCAGATATTACATTCCAACTGAGTCCTATGTATGACCGCAGCGTGTTTGCTGAACGGTAGGACAGTGCCATCCTCAAAGCAGACTCGGTGGGGTCTGTCGTGTCAATGGCGCATGCTACGCGCATTCGTGACGGAACTATTGCTGTTAGATGGCGTCTGGACTTGTGTGACATGGTGGATCGGTGCTGTTCGGATACGACAGGGAGGGCAGGTCTGAGGTCATCGGTCTATTTTACTATCGGGGGGTGGTGTACTATTCCGTGTCCTATGCCATATCTCACGTGTATTTCAAACGGTGTGGAAGGTTTCGAGCTCACTTTATGCTGCCTTTCGAATGTTGTACCAGTGTTCACTACGTAATGCATTGTTTCAATACCATATACCTGTGTGGATGAAGCTCTCTTGCTGCTATTGCCAATGAGAACTCAAAATTGCTATCAATTTGCGCAAAAGCTTCATTATGTTTTCAACCTTTGACGAGTCACGAACAAAATGTATATTGCAATTGCAAATGTACCTTAATTTCGGTGCATCATCGGGGTGGACGACAGTTGAAAAGAGCCCCAAATTTAAGGTGATAAGCCGTAGGAGTTCGATGGTTAGCAGCGCTCTTGCGCGTAGGTGAAGTCACCGTCAAAATAAAATCGCGACTAACCGGTAAACCTTTCAACCATCGTCATTGAGGTCAAGATATGATGCAGTACCGGCACAAAAAGGCTCCAGGGACTCCACCCAGCACATCCTGGTGGCTCTGTGGCGCGCCATGGCGTGGGCGAGGGTGGGGGCGGGAGCCCGGCACCGCCGGCGCTCCCGGGGGCTATCTGATGACGGCGACTGACACCGCCGCCGTGGGCGCTGACACCGTGTCACGGACGGTTCCCACGACACGCCCTTACCCGCGCTCCACGGACACGAAGTGCATGGAGCGCGCAGTCCGCACATATAGAACGTTTGCAGTAAGCATTCGTCACGAGTGCCGTTATGATGAACCAAAATTGACCAAGCGTTAGGAGGAATGAAATGTGTGAATATGATGAAGTGCTGAAGCGCATAGATGAAGACAATTTACAGTCAAGTATTGAAACTTTGTTTCTGAACTCGAAATGCATGTTCAACACTGTTGTTCTTTTTAACTGCTAAGCCAACATAAGATGTATCCTTACCTCCCAAAATCGATCATTGCAAAAATGTTGCAGGTGATCTTTGCAGTAAATATGCTCGGATATACAAACGTTCCAAGATAACTTTTGTCCCCAGTGATGCCTAGCTGAGGTGAAGGTCGCGACTTGTCCGAGTCCGTGAGGTCCAGGAACACTCCCACCGCCATCCCGGTATAATAAGGCTCTTCGCCAATTACCCTGGAGCTCTGCCAATGCTGCTTGTTTCCTGTTCATTTCAAACAATGTGCGCTCATTTCCTGTTCGTGTAAACCCATCGTCATGTCGCTTCCTTTATCTCTCGTAAACGTGCGAGTCATGAGGACTGTTGGTATCCGTACTTGAATGAAGTTCCGAGGAAGCATTTCTTCGGCCGGGCGCATTACTGAGAGTGAGACGCAGGGTTGTGCTTGACTCATGAGTCGAGTCAGAAATTTGACTCAACTCTGACTCAAATGAGTCAGATTTGAGTCGAGTCGGATAAAATGTTGAGCTGTTGAGTTGAGTCAGAGTTGAGTCGGACAAAAATATTAAGGCGTTGAGTTGAGTCAGAGTTGAGTCAGTAAAATAACTTTTGACATTGAGTTGAGTCAAACATTTAGGAACATGAGTCAGCTGACTCAACTTTCTAGAAACAAGCTTTTCATTCCCCCCCCCCCGCTCAACAACTTCGCCCTGGCCCTGCTGCCGGATTTTTTCACCCCCCCCCCCCCCGCTAAACAACTTTTTTATCTGAGTCCATTTTGAGTCAACTCACTTGACTCAACAAAAAATTTGGGTCAAGTTTGAGTCGACTCATATTTTCATTGAGCCGCTTGAGTCATGAGTCGAGTCAAGGGAAAAAATCAGCTCCTTGTTTGAGTCAGAGTTGAGTCAGGGCTTTCTGATGTTGAATGATGAGTCGAGTCGGCAATCTTTTTTTTTTGAGTCGAGCACAACCCTGGTGACTGGTGAGACGCATTAAAATCCCCTTTCCAAATAAATGTAAACATTATTTGCAACACCGTTTCAAGACACCCTTTTAAAATTCGCGACTGTTAATTTTTTTCTCTCGTTTATTTTCTTTGATGGAATGTCATTTATTCCATCAAAGAAAGTTACATCAGAAGGCCCTGGTTATTGGCTAGGTAGTTAGGGGAGCACTGGAGCAGTAATCTTTACCCTCGCCGGTACAGAGGCAGCCGTGGGGCTGTCTCTATAAATGCTAACCCGAATATCTCTAGAACGCGTGAACTTTATTTTCCTGTTAGTGACCTGACCTGTGAGGTTACCATCCAACCGGATGCATTAAGCGGCGGCCGATTCCTGATCTGCGCAATTAAAATGGTATACCATTGGCTTTGTCTAGTTCAGCTTCCATTACACAATACACAGCATTTAGATGACCCGATTGGCAGGCATCACGCCTGATCTCCGCAATGTCTGCCATGTGTACCTACCTACTGTGCAGATCAGCAGGTGCATGGACGAAAATGCATCAACATTCAAAAGTTTTCCAATTATCCTTTGAATGATTCAATGATCGTTTTTTTTTTTTGATTCAATGATCAATTGGAAAAATGACGTTCGATTTGTCATTCTAAAAATGACTTAAAAGTGAAAAGGTGCTATAATTGAAGGTTCACAGTGCCTCACAAATACACCCGTGCGGTGTATGACTCGCCATGTAAGTACATACATGCCTATTATCCACCTACCGATGAAAATTACTTTACGGTAAGATACAGAACAGTCTTGAACTTAATTATGTAGAAAATGGTAAAAAATATGGAAGATACTCGTATAAGTACTTTTGCAGTATAAGTTTATGAATAACTGAAATATGTGGTCCATTGGTACATATATGTGTACATATAGCGGACAGCCAAAGCACTAAGGCATTTCGAGGCGTTTTTTTTTTTTTTTGGTGATCAGTGAATAGTAGGTATACGTTTCATGCATCGATTTAAGAGCATGCTCCGTTTTCACAGGAATGGACCTAACATTTATAAAAAGATCACACTTATTTTACCTGGTTCGTGACGGATAACTGATTAGCTGTGTTTCCGACACCAAAGATGCGCAGGCTGCGGGTAATGCTTTTAAGTTGCTTGTACGTATTTATCATTGACCACCGCTGATTTCTCGGATTAACACCCCTCTGGATGCCAACATGAAAACTCTATCACGATCGGGAGTGTAGCTCTGCGAAGGTAAACACTACCGAGGCTGTAGTAACCCACGCCGGGCCGGTGCTCGGCGCCAGCCGGGCCGGGCCTGGGGGTGTATGAACACGCCCCCCCCCCCATCTCACTCGACTCCTGGGCCACGTAGCGACACGCGAGCGGCATTCGAAAGGGCGTCAAATATAATTACCAAAATGCGTTGGTCATTTTGTAGGTCAGGTCAAAGGTCAGGTAGCGAGGGGTCATCAAACGTCAAATTTTGTCCATTTCAACAATTTTTGGGAACTGCTAACGTCTAGCACGGGAACCGATGAAGCTACAGCGAAGGGGAAAAGCGCATTCGATAGCTTTTAGCTTTCGCCGTTATGCCCTCAGATTTGACCTCAGGTTAACGGTTAAGCCTCCAGAGGACAAAACTCCCAAAAATAGCCGTTTAATAAAAAAAGTTGTCTGCAATAGCTTTTGACTCAAGCAAGTGACGACATTTATTGTGCCAGCATCGTGTTCCTCTCGTCAAGACGCATAGAAGGAACTATGATTTCACATTGAATTGTCTTTTTGCCAATTTGACCTCAGGTCAAGGTCATGACTTGACCGGAAAAGGTAATGTTATATATGAGTCGATCGGTCCGTATCGCTGAGCTGAACACATCTGAGGTGTTTTAAACGCTTTAGCATGTGTCTATCAAAATTTATTGCCAAAAACTCCTGGGGACCTTTTATAACCTGATATGACCTCAGGGACATACGGAGAGGTCACGGGTGCCATTTTTCGGTTCAGCTTGTCGAGCTTACCTTGAGCCCGATGTTTGTGAGTGTTTGGAATGAGGTTCGTCCAAAAAATGCGGCTTGCAATTACCTCCCCCTATAAATGAAGAGGTCGCAAAAGTGACCGTAACCGATATCGGAATTCCGAAATATGCCTACATTTTGTATATAGGTACTGTTTCTCTTATCAATCGCTGAGAGTTACATGGCGATCGTTTGGTTGGTGCAGCTATGACAAGGACTCTAACCTTATCTGAGTTGAGGCCACTTGATGTGACCTGACCTTGAGAGACCTGGGTCTGAAATGCTCACAGCATGTGTGAAAAAGATGCATGAACAGGTGTGCCAAAAATGGTGGCACTCCGTGCCGCTGTTTTTGAGATATCTGCGAGAAACCACGGGAGGGGGGTCAAACACCCCCGGCCCTTCGCGGGTTAAAGCGAAACGAATAGCTGAAAAGTCACAAGTATCTGAACAATATCGCAATAAAAGCTAAGCCAAAATTATGTGGCCTTTAAACGCATTACGGCCCTGTTCAGGTTACAACAATTTTTAACGTCAAATTGGCACGAGTGCTGAGTGACATGAACTATGTGCTGTGACACACAACTTGTGCACTTTCAATAAAAAGGTGGCATAACCAATGTACATTGAACTCAGGATTTTACCGATTCTACTATTTTCTTTGCTAAGGTCAGGTCAATTTCTCGACCTCCCCATTATAAGTCAATGGGGGAAAAATTAACTCCCTGTTATTACCACTAAAACGGGTCGGAATGGCCCCATATACCATACATGACTTCATATACGATCAACCTTCACTACCTTGAAGTCTGTTTTGCTGTTGGGCAGCTGTAAGGTCATGTGACGTATATATATATATATATATATATATATATATATATATATATATATATATATATATATATATATATATATATATATCGATGCAGATTGACCAGAGGATTACGATGATGCACTTTGTTTGTTCCTATCTTGATTAATTCGAAAGTTAGTCAAGAAAAAAAATCAATATCTGGCGCCGCCATTTTGACTTTTTCGACCCCTGTGACGTCATCTTGACCTGACCTGAAAATGACCTTCGTAAAAATTGTAGACCTTGTCCGTGCGTATCCGATGCCGTTTACCGCTTGTCGCTATCTTGTTTCGTTCTCGAGATCTCAGGGGGCGGTCATCCACCCACCCCCCACCCGTCGGTTCTAAGTTGGCGCAGACCCCCGTCGGTGCGCGGGTTAAGTCTGCAGCATACCAAACGAAGGCTTCTTGGGGTGCAGAGGAAGG